ATGTGAAGGATGGCAGCCTAACACATTTCAGTTTTGAATACCACAGTTAAAAAAAGAAAAAAAAGAAATTTTAAAAATATATGTACGTAATGGTCAAATGCATGCCACTGTCTGGTTTTAAACGAGGATGCAGAGCTGTTAATATAAAATTCATTTTAAGAGTTAACACATTTCCGGCTGGGAAGTGCTAAAAAAGAAGTCTTAGTTTTAGATTCAAAGCAACCAAAGATGACCCTTCCCCTCTAAAGCAATTTTAGAGAGGTCAAACAAAGCAAAGTTAACAATCCTGCTTCTTCACCAGAATTCCACATGGCTAAATCCTCTGCTGACACCTCACTGTTATCTAGGTTGGCACACTGTATTTCTATTACAAAGAACATAATAATTGTGCCCACTCCTGGTAGTCCTGTTTCCATCAGAATTCCTTTATAAAATCTGGTTTCCAGAGAGGTTTAAGTTAACACCTCGCGTAAAATGCAAGTAACTCCAGTCTGCAAATTGCCACATATATTCTGATTGTATTAATCACGTTTAGAAATGTAAAAATACCGACTCATCTGGCTTTTGAGTATTTCTTGTTGGCATATGCAAATATAACTATAGGGAGCTGGAGACAATTATTAAATAATAGTTTCCCAAGTTCAGGTTCGCTTTTTGTTCTGAATGATACATCTATATCCTTTCTTGCTACCTGTAAGAGGAGAACTGCAAGGATTTTATCTGCAACTTGCAAGGTTGTCTAGTTTCCATACAGTTTTTACTTAAGATGTTTCCACAGCTCCTTTTCTATCCACTGTTGCAATGCTGTTTCATAACTTCTTGCAAACATACTCTCCAGCGATTTGCAAAAAGACATTCCTTCACTTCCTTTTTAGCAAAGCGGTACAGCGAGAACATTGTTTTGACCCCTTCTGAGCAGTGAAATACTGTTATTGTCACGAAACTGCTAAAATAAGACATGGTCTTCTTCTACACAGAAAGAGACACTAATAATTCTGCGTGTGAAGTGCAGACCAAAGGATAAAACATTTTAGAAAGGAGGATAACAGGGAAGTCTTGACTCAAAAAGTGCTGTAGCGTACCGTGAATAGGTTTCAAGTACTAGCCTCTGGCTTGTTGTAAGAATTTAAGAGCTAAAATGATTTCAGAAAGCAAGTATGGGTCAAGGTCCTGAATTAACTATTCCACACTGAATTTAATGTACTCAAAGGCAGATATTGACATGAGTAAAACTGCAGCAAAGTATTCTTTTTTGCTAAAGGCTGCTCTGCCAGTCCCAGAAGATGATGAAATACTGTACGAACAGCAATACACAAACATTGTTTTTCTCTTTATTGCTAGCGCAATAACAAATCATGCTCTACAAAACAGAATATTGCATCCTTTGTAAGACACCTCTTCTTCCCTTCCACCCTTAGCACTCTTCCTCTGAAAAAAATGTTTGATCCACAGTCACTGTTGAAGCACCAGGATACATAACTGCAACGTGACTTTCAATTGTCACATTAATTAAAAAACTAAAGAAAAAAGAATCAACTGGTAACAAGGAGTTACAAATGCTACTAAAAATATGTGGCAAAACCAGTGTTGTACTAGCTGCATTGAAGCTCCAAAATCATAAGAAAAAACTGCATCACAAATCTTCCTCTATTTTAGAGTAAAACCTGGAAGTGCATTTGTTTAAAATGAATATACCCAAAACCTACCTTCCTCCCTCAAAACAGGCAACACAACTACATTCTCCAAAACTCAGACAACCAGGAAACCAACTTCTCCCTATTGCTTGCCTTAATTTTTTATTGGACTCTAACTGAAACTCATACTCAGGGCATGTAAGCAAGTTAACTAATGTCCACGTTACACACCACCAGCTGCCACTCAGTTGCATTTGGTTTTGGCCTTACACACTGATCGAGCCTTGGTTTATCCAACAGACCCCTTACAGCTAGCAGGGAAAAAGGCTCAGGGGTCAGGCAGCTGAACTGGTCTTTGGGTCATAGAAAACGCTGCTTCCAAGTCCCTAAGCCAGTGTCACCTGCAAGTTCTCCACCTCACCAAACCCACGGTCAGCGCTGACCCCAAAGTACTGTCCTAGTTCAAGACGTTATTATTTTAACTTCTGTATTTACACTTAAGCTCAGCCCTTCGTTTCTCCGACCCGTAAGTCAGAATGGGGGAAACACAGCATTCCCACTGCATGTACCCACAGCGGTATATTCACACCTGATTTTTCTCTTTTCATGCCCCCAGCCCCGTACCAACCCCGTCCGTGCACTCCTGGAGGCCGGCTGCGTAAAGTGATCTGGATGCACGTCTGCTCACACACAGAGGAAAAGAGGCGCACTGAACACCTCTAGCTCATCTTGTACGTACTTTCCATTGGGTAATCTTTGAATTAATAAAACTGGAACAAAAGAAAACCTCACAAATGCACTGGCAGAAAAAACCCTGATAAATGTTTAAATTATTAAAAATCCAATATTTCAGAATGCATAACACAATAAAAAGAGTATGACTACCCCATACAAAAGACTGCTAGGATAAATGGCCTTGCATTGAACAGATTTCCACTGTATGAAATAACAAATGGCTGAATTATCTGAACAAAAAAACCTCTGTGAATCTTCCTTTAAACTGGTTATTCCTTAGGAATACATAAATCTTCTTAGGCAGGGCACTCTGCCATCTGTTTGCTGTTGGTTCTTTTTGCAGCTCTGGGGGCCAAAGGAAAAGGGGGGAAAAATTACTTCTGCTAATAGCAAAACAGAATTTATAGCACAGTTTCAATGCTCAGAAGTAATTTTATTTCAGCAAGCCAGACAAAACACATAACTACACAAACAAAACATAATATTACCTGGGACAGCTCTGGTGGGGGAAAACCAAGCTATTATCTAATGGCCTTTTCACTAGCTTTTCCCTCTACATCCAGACGGTGAAGTGTGCTGTCTGGACTAACCAATGGCTTCCAAGTCAGCGCTAGAAAGCTTCCCCACCCCCCCACCCCTTTTCCTCCTAAAAATCTTCCTGATTAACAACTTACTTTCTGTATCTTCTGCTTACAAAAAAAGTAACATAATATTATCAAAAAATAAGCCAACGTCTCAGCAGCTCCTATGTAGGGGAAGGAAACCCTCTGGACACACCAGATGAGTCTCATGGTGCCCAGGATGCCAGGACATATTAAACTGGCAGCGAGGCAAAGGATGAAGGAACTAAACTGGGTACGTGGGGCAGAGAGGAAGATACCGAAACACAGGATCTTGGTAAGGCACAATTTAAGTAGTAAGGTATCGCTGAGGAAATAAAAGTAGAAACAAAACCAACTCAGAAACAACATCTGATCACCTTAGCACAACCTAACTAGCTTTCGGAAAAACTTCAAAAATCCCAACAGATCAAAAAGAGCAAATGTAGTCAGTAAAGCATGAACAGTCTGTGACCGGAACAAGTATTTGGAACGATCCACTTCAGGGTCACTGAAACTGCATCCAAACCCACCGTAATTCAAGAATTGATCTTTACTAAAGTATTTTCTTGAAGGAGGATTAATTGTTTGGAGTTCAGGCTGAATATGGACTACAAAGCACATCTCTACAGAACTACATTCACCTGTCTTCACAGTCTTACACAGAGCTGCAAATAATCCTAAATTCACGTCATGATATGAAGGATAAATCCAGCAGCTACAATAAATATGTTTTGCGGTTTTTTTCTGGCAAAAGGAAGCTATGATTAAATTTCATATATTGACATTTTAATAAGTAAATGAAGAAATCCTACATATGGTTATATGAATTTTGGAAACAGTAAACATGGCCTATGTTTTCAGAACAGAGTAATTATTTTAAGTGCTCAACTTACAGCATCTTCAAGTCAGAGCAGGTGCACATCTCTCTTTTTAAAGCAGCAGCACATTAAATATCTGAAATTGCAATCTTAGGAAGTAAGACACTGAAAAGTAATAGAAGCCTCTTAAAAGATGAGATTTTTTCCTTCCTCCTCTTGCAGACACATACACACAAATACACATATACTTGCTAGTCAACACCTACGTCAAACTGGGTCCGAGTGTTGCTGGAGCTGTTCAAAACATTGTACTCATCATCTACATGCTGTGCAAAAGGACTTAATGAAAAATATGTGAGTTACTATACAAAAAAACCCCCACAAATAGCTTAGCTTAGCTTCAAATCACTCCAAACTACCCAAACAGGGGTGACTTGAACAAAGAAGGCTAATAATCCTCTGCCACCAGCCCAGGGCTGGTGTTGTCAAGCAAGTTTACGGAGGAAGGCCATTGGGGAAAGGTTACCCACCATTTGAACTGTTCACCATGTTGGGGGCCATGCTGTACGAAGGAGCCTGCGGGTTCATCAAGCCAGAGCTGTTGTTCATCGGCTGAGTGTAGGGGGAGCTGGATCCCATCATTCCACTCTGATTCATGGCAGGAAAATTGCCTTGCCTGCGAGAAGAAAGCACACACACGACGTCTCATTACGTACCTCGTTGCTGGAGAAGCAGTGGTTTGTCACAGACTACATCGCCTGCTGCTCACAAACAGCTAAGGAGAAGGCACGCGATTAGTTCCTTTACCTACACGGGGAGCTTCGAATTAGTCTCAAATGCCATATGTCTAGACAGAACTGGACTGAACACAGATTTTAAGTGATGTATACTATGTCTTTATATGTCACAACCAATCCGCAGATATATACAACTCATTATTTATCCTGTGAATGGACAGCAATGTGATCAGGAGCCAAAATCAGAACTCAGTGCTGGCATAAAAAAATTCCAGTGAATTGCAATTTTGATCATGTAATAGAAATCCTTACCTACCAGGCTTCAAAAACAGTGAAGTGACCAGAAGAAAAATGAGTACCACAGAATCTCCTTCAGATTTCTGTGTCTGTTGTTACCGCTATGTTCATCTTTTGTACATGCCATCTATGTCCAATCTTTCAAAAAACTGCACACATACTACACTTTGTTGAGACAAGAAACCTCAGCAGAACTATTTTGGTTTTGAAAATGAACCACGTATCTGTATAATGCTTTCATAACTGAGACTAAGTTTTTCTGAAAAACTTCCCCGAATGAAGCCCTTACCTAGTTCTCCACATCTTCAGAGCGGATATTTTAAGGTTAAACCTTATCTAAAGTTCTAAAACTATCTCAGTACGCTTTGTCCTTGATTTTTCAAATTCCATAGATAAACTGAGACATAAGGAAGAAAATAATCAAGTTCAAGTAAGCAGAGTAACCTGATGTAATGCATGACCGAATTTAAAAAGTAACCTTTTATTCTTTTAGTCCATAACACAATTATCTACCTTTTCTTGGTATAGTTGAAGACGGCACATATTATATGTATACGGATATAGACTTAACCATATAAAATCATAGATATAAAAAAAACCACATGAGAAAATATACTCACTTGTATATTCATAGCCTACATAGGAAAATACAAAACTCAGATCTGTTTCATCAGTGTACCCCCTCTAAATTTATGCTGTTTTTCCAAATAAAGGAGACAAGAAATGAAGCAACTACTCCTTCACACAGCTTTGGCACCTGTCAGCTTTTTTTTTTCCTCATGAAAAATAAAGCATTTAATTTTATCCTACAGGCATGTCTTGGTACCAAGATGGAGTTTTAGTATAAATTCTACTTTTCATTATTACACAGTATTCAAACAAAGTAGACAACCTCCAAACCAACAACCCTGAATAACTTCAGTGGCTTCTTGTCTTCTTCGAACTCATGGCAGATTCTTAATGAAATTGGTAGATTTCTCTTTTTAGGAGGTACAGGAGGAGGACCATTAAAGCACTATTTGGCCTAATTTTTCTTGACACATTGTGAATTTCTTCAAAGGAAAAGAGAATGTGTTATCTAAATAAAGCATCTTCTTCCAAGTCAGTTTTGTCCTTTGCTCTCTGAAGACAAACTTTTATTCACTCTTGCAAAGAAGCAAAAGCGTTCTTTTGATATGAAGGAGACAACTGCCATACAATGTCATTTCCCTGATGAAGCTTAGGATGAGTAGTGGAGGGAAAAGATTTAAAATGCACAGTGGTGCAATGCTCCAAGGGAAAATTACAAAGGGAAGAGAGAAGAGCAGGACCATTTGGCAACAACTTTAAAAGATTTCAATCACACAATAAAGCTTTTCTTATGTAAATACTATATCTTAAACACTCCCACTCCCCTTTCTAGCTGAAAATCGCTGTATTTCAACAAACCCAATTAACTGAAAAGTTCTTTCTATGCTGGGTGAGCAAGATCCTTTCCATTACTGGGTAAAGTTAGTAGTGAAAATGAAGAAATTGTGCAAGTGTATTTGTACACGTTATGGAAGAAGCAATGTACGTTGAAAGGTTCTTTTATGGACTAAGGCTGAGATTCTGGAAAGACAGAAGTCTCTACAGGTATCTCTACCTCTCCAATATCCTCCTTTTGCTTTAAAAATTCATGGGAGATAGGCACCTTGCAGGTAAGATAGAATTGGTCCTTCCCTCCTAATATTTCAATACTATTATTTCCTGCATCGTGTATATCTTCTGAGCTGTGCGGCTGTTCCATTGTCTCAAATTGAGGCACAACCTGTTTCATGTTACCCACTATGGACATCAATCTCAATTTAGCTCATGAAAGCACACTGCTGTACAACAGCTTTAAATCAAAAAGTAGGAAACTATTTCCAGTTTAGACAGGGAGTGGAAATTACATAAATGGAATATACTAGCTTTGGCCAGGACAGCAAGAAAACAACTGAAGCCTAAAAAAATGCTTCTGTACCCAGAAAGGCCTGAATGGCAGAACCTAATTCCGAAATTTCATCTGGCAAGGCAACACCTTTCCCTTTCATCCTCCCATGTAATGCCGCACTTGGAACGGACACAGCTCTCCACCTCTGCAAAAAGCCCAGCAAGTGAAAAGACTCAGCACCACCCCTGGCAGAACTTTGTCCTTCCCTGGTCCCCTATCAAAGCACTGACGTGAGCTAATTCAGTAATGCTGAAAGGCGACATCCTGTAAGAGTAAACGTTATTTTATCCTGAGATTGGGTGCAGTGCACAGCAGAGAGCTCCTCCACGTATTATTCTGCTCTACGATGGCTTGGAATGGAAAGTTTCTTTAGGGAGAAATAATCAGGTATTACTTCAGCCTTTAATTCTCACTCCACAGTGGGTCTCCTTTGAGTAAAGACTGCCGACTGTGACAAATTGTGCCGCATCAGTGCTATAATATGAAGTGGAGTCCATTAAGAACTGAGCTGAGATCACCAAACTCATTTTGATTAACCTCCAGGTCACTAAACACTTATAAATATGTTACACAGCAGCTGCTAAACATATTTATATATGCTTAAGGTCACAGCATCATCTGTTGGTTGTTGGAGTTAAGTCAAAAATCTTATGTTTCCTTCTGTGCTGCTTTTAGTAAAGGCATATCCAACATACTATTTAAAAAGTAGTTATCTCAAAGGATCCTACCGGACTCTCTCTTACTCTCCTCCATTTTTCTATGAGGCTACATAAAAATTAAGTCTTTTAAAAACCATCTGCTGTACATGTAGTGATATCTAATGGCAAAAATTCAACTGACCGGCTACGAATTCCATAGCAGAACAAACCCAGTTAAGTATGCATTTTGACAATATTTACCGCATAAACACCAATGGCTAGGTTGCTTAGAGATGACGCAAGTGATAATTAGGAGTAATAGGAAGAAATTAAGGAGAGAAACACTTATGCTGAGTATAATGAAAAAATGTCTTCATGGCGACATGCAGTTGCCCTCCAAGGAATGAAGGAAACCCCAATACTTGACACCTCTGCCCACAAACAATACAGCAGAAGACGTACTGGTCAGATAAATCCTGCATTGCATATGAACTAGATGACCTGCCAGGTATTTTCCAGCTCTAACTCCTCCAATACTGTGATGCCAGATCACGCATTTTTCCCCATTTAGAAGAAAAGGCAGCTGGGCCAATACAAATTTAGGATTATGCTATCAATTTAAACACTATACTTAAGACTACACATTTCTTTTTTCTGCTCTGCTGTGACAAGGGGATCCACAAGTATTCAGCAAATGGAAGAGATTAGAAATGGGAAGGAGGGGAATCCGCTTGCTTTCTGTTGTTTATTTACTGTTGACAATTTAGTAATTCACAGCACTTGCATAATGCTGCAGCCAGTTGTTATGCTGGAGGAAAGGGCTTCCGCCCAGGGGGACCCAGACAGCCTGGAGGAACATGCCAAAAGGAGCCTTAAGAAAGTCAACAGGGACAAGTGCAAGGTCCTGCACCTGGGAAGGACAAGGCCCCTGCAGTGGTGCCGGCTGGGGCTTGACTAGGGGGAGCGGCTTTGCTGAAAAGCCCCTGGGCATCTTGGCAGACAGGGAGCTGAGCAGGAGCCAGCAGAGTGCCCTGGCAGCAGCGAGGGCCAACTCCGTTCCGGGCTGTGTGACCAGGAGCAGAGCCAGGAGATGGAGGGAACTGAGCATCCCTGCCTTAAGGCTCGGCACTCATTAGACTCCATCTAGAGTGTTGTGTCCAGCTTTGGGTCTCCCAGGAAAGGAAAGATGAAGATAAACTGGAGTGGGTTTAGCAGAGGACCCCTTAGATAGTCAGGGCTTGAGCACTCACCCCGGAGGGGCTGAAGGATGTGAGCTAGCCCAGCCTGGGGCAAGAGACAGCTTTTGAGAGCAACCCAAGAGCAGTCTCCCCAGCACCTAAAATGAGGTCAGCAAGAAGAAGCTGGGATCTTCACCGTGGGGCACGGTGGGAGGATGGGACACAACAGGCAAGAGTTAAAACATAAGAATTTCAGACAGGATGAAAGGAAACCTTTTTCCCAGTGAAAACAGTCAGGCACTAGATCTGTTGGCCCAGAGGGGTTGTGCAATCTCTGTCCTCCGAGGTTTTCGAAACCCATCTGGATAAAGCCCTGAGTTCTCAGCTGAGAATGCTGAGGAGGAGGTTGGACCAGAGATCTCCTGAGGTTCATTCCAGCCTGAGTGACCCTATGATCCTGGATTGTCAGCTTCATTGTGCTGCTGATACTCTGGTGTACTACTGGGTCCAAAATACAATTGGTCAAATTTAAAACATTCCCTTTTAAGATGGTCCTGTTCTGCTCTTTTGTTTTCCATCATTTGCAGTCTACCCGAAGCTTAATCTGCACTTAATCTCTTTTCTCTGCAAAACAAGTACCATCAGATCTAATTGTGTCTTCTGAGCTAATGCAGAAGTCCATGTATTTAAAGAGAGGAGATGACATGTGAGATCTGGTCATTGTTAAAAAGCAGAACAAAGAAATTGCAAGAAAGAAGAGCACTGACAATACAAAGGAGCACACGAGTGATCACAGCTGCAGCAGCATCTCTTATACTGAGATGTCTTCCTTTAATTGGATCTGAAATCATCAGTAGGTTAGTGCGTTGTCG